GCGGCAGGCGCTTCCTCATGACGTGTGTGTTTGCATACACAGAGTCATAGGCTAATGAAGCAAATGCTACCCATGCCCGACACCCCTAGGGCGCTACGCCACCTTTACTATTCAGCACTTGTAATGTTCGAAAGGAAAAGGTTAGGCTATTTGTATTGGAGCGGCCCTGGTTCCTTCGTTTTCGCCTGCCTGCCTCGCTACAGTCTTCTTCCACGATTGCAGCACTGCCGGGGCCATCAGTGGTATTGGTAGTCCCTTGTTGTACGTGCAAACTCCATGAAATATATATAATTAATTCTATCGATCCTAATGAAATATCCCTGTAGCCACGTGCTAATCGGCCGACTGACGCGGTTTGATGACATGACCATTTGAGAGGTTATACTGCACCGTTCGTCCATCACCAGCCATGTTTTCCTTAATTTGACTCCATTTGAGAGGTTATACTGCACCGTTCGTCCATCACCAGCCATGTCTTCCTTAATTTGACTCCATTTGAGAGGTTATACTGCACCGTTCGTCCATCACCAGCCATGTCTTCCTTAATTTGACTCCATCTTATGCAATGTTATGGCTTCCGGCTACATCTGACGCAGTTGACGTACTGACGCATGTGCAATTCTTAAAATCGTGATCTAAATGCGTTTTACACTATCGTACATCCTCGCGAACGATCCGAAGCACTGGACTCCAGCACCCAAGCTCACCAATTTGTGGGAAATGGCACGTGGCTGCACAACCTCCTTACGTACACTGCGAACAAGCCCCGAAACAACGGATCGCTCCAACAAAACAACATCCAGAAGGTGGGCTACAAAGCAACGTTCCAATCACAGGACATCGCATTTATTCGCAAAAGATTCCGGGTGACAAGGATGCACATACATCACCCGCACACGTAAACATTAATTGCGGATGCACTGTTGAGAGCACTTGAGTCATACGTTGAAATTTCGAAATCACGTTTCGAGCCTTCGTTTTACTGTTCGACGCAGGTTTCAAAGCAAATCAGTTTTAAAAGCGCATGGGCTTAAAGTACGTAGGTTTTGAGGTTATGGCAGTCTTTCATGACAATCGTGCGGAGCAGATCAAACCTAAAATTGGCAGGATATAGTTTTTGGTTTTAAGAAAAGCGTTCTACGACTACGCTACAGTGACCAGAATCAAAACTCTTAAGCGACGATTATTCATCACTCGGTCAGCGGCAATCACCAGAAAGACGTCGGAGATGGAAGTATGTAAGTTCTGTACACGCGACATAGCTCAACATTGACCTGCCGGATTCTCAACAACCCGGGGCCGTCCCTGCACTGATAGCTCCTGAACACCGCGTCCAACAACAGCCGGCCACATCACCCTCGACAGTGGACCTGCCTCGCCAGCCAACGAACTCCAGTGCGTACGGCACTCCCTGTCCAGTCCAGTCCATCCACGCTGCCCAGCACAAGCACGGTGCTCGAACGCCACCGGGGGCCCACCGAGATCACCACTCCGCGCGCGAGCTCACGGGCGTGAGCCGGCACAGCCAGACTCCCGATTGCGCTCAGTTCGCTGCGGGGGCCGCGCCGGCTCGGCGGCCTCTCCGTTCATGCCTCACAAGCGTGACCACTCGAAGGTCCAGCACGTAGAGACGCGGCTGGCCTGGTCTGTCGCCGGCCCTCTCCTGCGCCGCGCGCCACGCCCGCAGCCTCGCAGTCCGCGCTGTCCGACCCCGTGACCTCTGACCTCTGACCCGACCGCAACGGCGGCTCGGGCCTCATCAGAGGTGCGGCGGCCCTACCGGCGGCGTCAGCATCTCCGCGCCGTGGTAGCGGCGGATGTGCTCGCGCAGTGAGTCCTTGCGCGAGTACGACTTGTGGCACACGTGGCACACGTGCTGGTTGGCCGACTCGTGCACGGACTTCTCGTGGCGACGGCGCAGCCAGTTCATGGAGAAGCCGGCGCCGCAGTACTGACAGCGGTGCGGTCCCCGGGGCACCTCTGCGGACACACGGAGAGCGGCGCTTAGCACGGCGACAGGCTCGCGCTCGCCCCAGCCACGGCCAGGCGCGAGGGCGACGGCGATGTGCTCGGCGTGGGCTCGCGGGCGACAGACTCAGGGCACGACGAAGCTCGCTGGGCGCGCGGACTCGGAGGGCGACGGCGCTCGCCGGAGACACCGACGTGAGATGCGCATTCCGGCTTCAAGGGTTTTGCGCACCGAACTGTGCTTTCTGGGGTGCCGCGTCTAGGGTTGTATCATGTCCTCCAGATGCATGCCGCATGTTTCGCTTTGCCAGTTTTTTGCTCCTAACGCTCCAATAAATTTCGGCTTTAGAATGGGCGCCACGAGAAGGCCACTTGTGTGAAGTACCCACACCGTACTTCGGCATAATATATACGGCGCACGCGTTATTATTCGTCCCTTTATGCATGACATTATGGCGTAAAGATACTGTGGGCCAGGACCCCATTGCACAGTAGGCATTGCTACCAATGATGCGGCGTCTGTATCGGATCCACGTGATGTTCCATTGGTTGGGGTTGAAATTGTGAAGGAACACGCGCTTCTCCCCGCTCCTCACAGACGTTTTCGGCAAGCTCCTCCGTCACGACGCGTACCCCTGCTGCGGCGACAGCATGGATTGGCCGTTGGCGTCAGCGGAATAAAATGACACGGCGCTGCAAGAGCATGCCTGGGGTTTGGTGTCTGCATACAGCCACCGCCACAGCCAGCCAGGCGTCGCTTGCCGGAGACTGGGACGCCACAGGAAGAGCACGCGATATGCCAGGACTGGTATTAAGAACGTGTTTGAGTGGTATCAGCTGAAGCACCAGAGGCAAACTCGGAATTCTCAAAAAAAGTTCTGTTTCTGAAGGATGATTCATCCTGTCGCATCAAATCTAACGGCGGAAGGATCCCGGTCAGGCTGTGCCGGTGGCGACGAATTAGACAGCGTGTGTTGGGGGGGGGGGGGAGGGGGGGGGCAGGGCAGAGAAAACAGCTGCACGACTGGCACCGGACAATAAGAGCGGAAAACACCGGAAAATTAGATCGCAACCTGATGGTTTCGGATGAAAAGACACCACGGAAATTTATGCTTAAGCCGAAGCACTCAGAACATCCTACGCACCTGAGCTGTGCCATGTCCAAATTGCCTTTCAAAATTGTCTACAACGGTGTTTCGAAGCTATTATTCCCGCTACTTTAAAAGCAAACGAAAAGCTAAGCCCATGCAGGGTGAGAGGCGGTATTTTATTGCCACCGAAAAAACACCAGTGGAGACGACAAAATTGATGTCACTCGTTACACGCGCATTGTGCACCTTATGTGAGAGCGTGGGCGCAAAATGGCCCTGATGCCGACGCGCCCTTAAAAACCAAATCACCACCACCTTATGTGAGCGTGTGCACCTAACTTTCGTAACAACACTGAACAAGGGCGTCATCTCTGAGAGCTCGCAGAGCTACAGGTGTTTCGATTTTCAATCACAGAAAAAGGTTGACATGTGGTTCATTTAAGCCGGAAATACCTCAACATTCTCCTCTGGCGGCAATATGAGTTATTATGCTGAAGGAAGTCGACCCCAATTCACCAGTAGGAACGAGTTGAATATGGAATCAAGAAATCATTGAAACATGCTATTAAAATAGAGCATTCTCATAAGTCCGATGTTTCAAAGGCGGCGTTCGTGGTCACTCGAGCATGATAACTGCCTTGAAATTTCTGGTATTCTCGTGGCATATCCCAACGATTTCTTAGTATTTTCCCTTAAACAGAACCTCCTGCTCCGTTAAAGGTCCGTCATTTGCGACGCAATGACTCATCAGATCAGCATACAATGGCACTGTGCGGGCAAACAGGACATTTTTGGTAGGGCCGTATTTTTGTGACCGGAAACAAGCTCAGTAATTAACGAAAACCCAGCTCCACATTAGATCAATCCTAAGCCACCTTTTTGTACTGCATTTGATTCAGGACACAATTTTGCGCCGATCAGGCTCAAAAGCCGTTCTTTGCTCAGGAAAGCCGCGACCCCTTCACCTTCATCCCCCATTCCTAAAACGAGAAGTTTTCCGCCTGGTCTGAAGCGCTTCTGGCTCACCGCAAATGGTCACGCTGAACAACAATGCATTCTAAGACACCAGGTTTTATCCACTTGCTTTTATTTCATGGCCGTATCGACACCAAGTGACAAAAAAAGGGTTGCCTACCAGCACTCTCAGACACGGCGCGAGCAAGAAAATGTTTCACCTCAGTGAGACCGGAACGGTCTGGCATATAGAAGCACACATTTGTAGCTGTCATACTGAATGGAATTGCTGATAATCAGACGATGGGCCACGTCGAGGTCATGAGCCGATCAAACCTTATAAACAGAACCACCGCCTCCACGTCAAAAATATCCACCGGAGACCTGACAACGTATAACTTTCGACGGCACGGAACGAGTGATGACGCCGGCTCTCTGACCAATGCAAGCCGGCCATGCCCCGGTAGAGCCCACTTCCCCCCATCCCCCCCCCCCCCCACCCCCTTCCCTCGTGCAAAGGATGACCGTTACCAAACCGGAGACAGCAGGCCGAGGAAAGAATGGCAAAGGCACCCTTAAGGCTTCAATTGCTAGAGCGCGTCCCAGCACGTTGAAGTCAGCTTAGATGACCCTAGTGCGCCTGCTAGTAACGCGTCACTTGCATGCCGTGTGACGTTCCGATCGGCCTGGGCCGCCACCATCGCGCATATACCGTGTGTCAGCGGCGGTCCATCAGGTGTCGGCGGGTGTCGGTGGTTTGAACCCATGCCGCCTCTTCATATGGTCGCGCATGTTGTCCTGGCGCGAGAACTGTCGGCTGCAGACCGGGCAGGCGACCGCCTTTCGGCGTTCATGGACGCAACGTTCGTGGCGCACTCTATGTGAGGTCTGAGTGAACGCTAGTCCGCAGTACCGGCATGTGAGGGCAGCACCTGCGAAACAGGTCGCACCCGTCAGCACGGCTGTGGACTGAATACTGTCATCTCCATGCGCAGCAGACAACGTCTCGACATCTACCTACATTTCTTGGGAGACAATATTCACGGCAGGACAGTCACGTCCTGTCCAAACCCATCATATCGCACAATTTGAAAAAAGGCAGCGTGGAGCTGGTGCGAGGTGATACGGCTCATTTCAAAAAGCACTTGCTCAGTACAAGGACGCCAAGCATGGAATCAACTGTCGGATCTACGAGGCGAAAGAGTCACGTCGAAGAAAGTGTGGTCCAGCGTGTTAGCGTGCTCGTCCCTTACTGCGTGTCGAAAAGCGTGTTTGGCCTTGATTGCTAGACATGTGCTGCGTCGTCCCGCCCACATTTATCTTGCGCATTGTAATATTGGTAAGCAAACGTGAAAATGTGCAATTAAGACGCTCTAATAGCATTGCATAAGGTGGTTTTCGAAGTTTGACCCACTTTAACGAAGACCTTGAATGGCTTGCACATAACATGATCTATGGGAATCATTTCGATTCATGTTACAGCGATTTTGTGGTTGATTTTATACCCCGCGTTCGTGGTAAAAAGGTCAGTAAAATTCATTTTTCAATGAAATTTATTCCGTTATTCAAACAATCGTGTACCAGCTTCGGAAGCGCAAGAAAAGATTATGCCTTGCGCCATGCAATGCTTTACATATTCGTAGCACACAAAAATTACATTCTGACAGCTGGAAACTTGCAATGAGGCCACTGCTAAATGTTTTAAACCATTGATACCGTACATAACACACACCGTAAATACGTTGTCGAGCGATACCGATGATGCGTCGAAAATTTGTCGGCAAACAGAGTGGTCGCACTAACCCACCTTTCTTGGCGAGGCTTGAGGATCACTTGTTTCCACTTTTGCGGCGGAGGTCTTTTTTCAAACCCAACTGATATATGTGGTCATCCACGAATGAGGCGCTTCAGCCTGCTGACCTCAGAAGTGCATCTAACCGCCATCTGTTAGCTATTTTTTTATGTTTTGGGGCGAGTCAACCGTCCAGGCCATTAGCCGACACCGTCACGGAACGACAACAATCCATATGATTGTGATTTGTCTGGTTAGGTCACCGCACGGACATACAGCGCCGGCATACCAGATTGGCAGGACTAACCAAGTGCTCAGCGAAACCAATAATACTCACTTAACTAAAAAAAAAGTCGCTCGCAAACGACAGAGGAAAATGACGAAAAACTCGGCTAGACGTCTGATCAGAAAATCAGACAGCAGACAACAGGTCACTGGCGATAGCGACACCGAATCTCTCACGCAGCACTTTCGAGGTCAGTTCGCCGCAATGTGACACGCCACGGAACGCTGCCGCCCCCTCAGACGCAGTCTTCACCACCAGCAGCACGCTGCGACTGCCGTCCCGGTTCAGAAGTCAGGCCACCTGCCCGATCCCGGTCGGCTCGGGCAGTGACTGCCCAAACCCGGTCGGCTAGGGCAGCGACTGCCCGTGCCGCCGCGTGACATGCACGCGCAGGCTGTCTCGGCGCGAGAACGGACGTCCGCAAATAGGACAGGAGAACGCCATCTGACGTTCGTGGACGCAGCGTTCGTGGCGCCCTCTATGAGAAGTCTGAGAGAACGCTAGTCCGCAGTACCGGCACTTGAGGGCAGCACCTGCGAAACAGGGCGCACCCGTCAACACGGAGAAACTGCCGAAATATTAACGATACTAATTCAAATAAACTGTCTCTACTTCGGCCGCGGACACCATAACCTATGCTACGTCAGGTAGCAATTGTGGTCGTCCTCAAGTGCCCTTGAGTAGCTGCCTCGAATCGTCAAGAGAACATGCACATCCGAAAATCCGAACTCAGTTCCAGCCGACATCCAATATTGGCTCCCAGCGTGCGGCCTGGAAACTTTCAAGCCCGAGAAATAATCTCCGGAAAGAGGCGATGATTCATCAGGGCTTTTCGGCGAACAGAGGGGAGGGATTTGTGATGAAATATTGTTCAAGCGGCAGTAACGCAGCAGTCGACTCCACAGCGGGTAGAAGGCTCCGTCGCCAAATCAAAATTTCTATTGGAGAACCAAGAACTCACCCTTCCATTTCATAGCGGGGAGGCAACTTTTCCCAAGGGTGGTGGTATCTTAGTTCCGACGGAGATCCAGAAGCGTGTCATGTCTGGACTAGTAGCGAGATCCGAGAACAATCGAATATTTGAGGAGAATACATGGCTGACTACACAGGAACTGCGTAAGGATAGGGAGGCGAGATAACTATGTGCTCCACAGACAGGTTAGGACGGATCGGACAGTCCCGAACATGCTCACTCCAAAGATTATAATGCCCCGTATAGACCATGAAACAACAAATGTGATACGAAAAATGCCCTAAAAGCTCTATAATGGTAGAATAAAAATATGTGGTTTCGGCTACCTATTTCGTCTTGACAGGTAACCAGTGTGCAAAACTGAGAATGCCAAAAAGCACTTATACTGGACACAAAAAGTATAAAACAGCAACGCAACGTTCATCCCACCATTTTCTAAATCGGCGACGGATGTCGAGGCTACTTCGATTTTGCGACCAATGGCTGCTAATAATTCGGTCATTTTATACATTCGCTTCTCCCATAAAGTACTTACATGAAGCACTAATAATAACTTAATACAAATATTCGCAAGTAGTGATCGAAACGCATTTATTAGGCACTATCACTGAACCCAAGATACTTTATCGGCGTCTCAGGTAGTTGAGTGGTTAGGCTGCACCTTTGGAAACCCAGAGGTACAGGGTTCGGTTCCCCGCGAGCCCGCTTTTCCTAAAGGGTTGACAGGCAGGCGAAGCAGCATAGCCTCAGCTGCAAGTGCGTCGTAAAGCCTCAACAAAAGCATAACATGACGTTGCATTAATGCACAGTCTGTTCAGTTGGCGCCCGCTGGTTTGTTTCAGGTGGCTTCGTTCCCGGAGAGGCAGACAAGCAACCGTAATTACCAGAACCAGCGGGCTACCGGTCAGTTTCCCTCAAGAAGAATAAACCGCTACCCTACCTGCACCAGACGCCTGAAGATCGGCCTACAGCCCACTAAGCCTGGGTGGCACCCGCAATGAAACCGGCATCCACTACAGGCCCAAGTCGTGGACCTGCGACGTTCCGGTACTGTCGGCTGCAGGTACTAATGTGTGACAGGCCGTGCTACTGCAGCGCCGGCTGACAATCGTACCTGCGACGTTCCGGTACCGTCGCCTGCAGGTACTAACGTGTGACAGGCTATGCTACTGCAGCACCGGATGACAACACCGTGATGCCGAGACACCCGAGATATTCAATGAGTGCATTGAATGATGAGTTCAAAGGTAAGCGGAGGTCTGGGCGCGCAGTATGTCGGTTGCAGAATACAGTCGCAATAGAATCCGTCAACAGCGCTCTTCCGATCAGTTGCTCATATATTCTTGCGGAACATCACGGATTTCCGACACAACGTCGTCGCTCGCTTCACAGAACACCGACGGCGGTTCTGTTACTACCAAAATACAATGACAATCTACACACGAGTAAAAAATAAAGGACTGCCAATTACTGATGCATCGCAAGCGACCGTGCTCAGGCTCAGCACATATTGAGCTTAAAACTTCAGTGCAACGCCGACTCGGCTTGTCTGTAGTGAAGCATGCCGAAGGTACGCCGCTTGTTATCCGTCTGATACTGCTGCACGTAACTGACCAGATTATCACAAGAGGACTACTTGATTCAGCAGGATCAAAGCGTTGAACATGCCAACAGGTGCGCAGAAACCATTGGGCTGAGATGGTTCATAATCCAACGGCACAACGGAAATGTTGCGTCCTTATGCAGCATGCAGTCCATACGGCATTGAGCTAAACATAAGCCTCAGGTTCAGAAAACTATCTACAAGTTCAAATACTCCGCATTTATTACAGAAAAGCACGTCAGAAAAAATGTCTTCCAATCATCAGTCAATCGTTTAACACGGCTGCGCCCCGTCCGGCGCTGCTATCCGGCGCTCTCCAACTCCGTCACCATCTTCCACTATTATTTGCAGAATTCGTTGCCCCCCCCCCCCCCCGCCCGTTCAGCGCATATTGTGACACCTGTTCATGTGCACGCGCAGGTTGTCTTGGCGCCAGAACGGCCGCCCGCACGCCGGACAAGGGAACGCCTTCCGGCGCTCGTGGACGCAGCGTTCGTGGCGCGCTCTATGTGAGGCCTGAGAGAACGCTAGTCCGCAGTACCGGCACGTGTGGGCAGCACCTGCGAAACAGGGCGCACCCGTCAGCACGGCCGATTGGGCGCTCTTCAGTAATGCTAATTGGCCAGGGCATACTTTACTGATAAACGTCTAGCGTCGACGAAGCGACCTTTGCCTTACGTCTCGGGGCCCGTGTCCGCAACCGATGCGGATGCAGGAAGTAAATGTTCCTGTTCCCCTGATTGCCCATGTTCTCACGAGTCTATCACGTGGACGCGGCATGGGCTTGAATACGAGACTACCTTGCGTAACTAAAGCGGTTCTTTGATGCATTGGTCCAGACACGACAACAAGGAAAAGGGCTGGTTGAAATCCGCGTTTACGCTCGTAAACTCACGAGGGCAAATGACAGCCGGGTTCGACCAGGGTCGTGTCCTAGCTCATCTGCACAACCGTCACGTCATTGCAGATAACGTATGAGCTACCACTCTACGAGCTGCCCTGCTGCTGGTGACATCCGGTAGGAAGAGAGGTCGCCTCGTGTGGTAGCGACATTTAGGCGGTACAGGCGATGCCTTTAAAAGTTGACATGCCGTCTCTTACAGAGAAATGACATTGGAACAACTGCACCATTGAACGTGAAATATGATTTGTTTTAAAAATTACGTGCCGTTTGGATCAGGCTTAGATCACGCAATTCACAGCTACTATGCCCAGCATCCATGTGTAGATCGCTGTACATCCCTTGAGAGGAGCTCGGGGCACGAAAAGCTAGCTTAAAGGCAACACAGCAGCAAATCCCACATGCTGCTCGATTTTCTGCCCTTCGTCCAGAGTCCAAGCTTATTTCGTGGCGCTTCGCTCCTGCCCACCTCACGTGCGGCAGACCGCTATCTCCTTCATAACCAATAACCAGCCAACGGCCCGTCCGAAACGGCTGATCCAGAGCGCACGCACCGAACTCAGACGTCATCGGACGGACCAGACCCGAAGCAAACCGCATCAGTGTTCCGATCAGCGTCCAGAGGAACAGATGGCAGAGGTGGGGAACAGCGCAGAGCTCCTGTGCCAATCATGTATTGACGAAGCCTCTTCTTGACACATGGATACTTTACGACGTCTGCATCACTTTCTAACGCGGCCTACCACCGACGCCATTTACCTGGCATGGAAAATGGCATACCCAGCTTATTTCCATTCGCTATTTCCGACGTTAACGTCCGAAAGGCTAAAAATGTACAACATGGTTATAGCGTGTTCTTCTTACATGTACAAATATGCGCAAAATAAATTGCTAGAATGCTATTACCAGTACAGAGAAATTGCAATAATTCGGACATTTCACTACCTGGCATTTTCATCACCATGACTCCCCGACATGCTGGCGCTCTACATAATCGGTCATAACGCGTAGATGTACAGTCTCACAATCAGGAAGACTCGAACACCAGCACAGTCAAGCTTGGACTGCTTCCATCGTAACTACGACCATATATTCTAGACTGGAGAGGTTACATTAAGTGAGCTTCAGGTAACACCGCAACACTGCATAAACTACGTTCTAGCGAAAATGCCCCAGGACGAGAAGAGGTATGGTGCCGACATGCCAGCGGATTTCACGATCACGCACGCAGCACATCCGCTTCTTTACGCAGCGTGCTCAGACCACAACGAGTGACAAACACGTCCCACATCCGCCGCCGCACGCGTCTGGTTTGGAGTAGGGCCAGCTTCAGGCGATCGCCTGACTGTGCCGCCGCCTCACATGCACGCGCATGTTGTCCTGGCGCGAAAAACACCGTCCGCACACCGGACAGGCAAACGCCTTCTGGCGCTCGTGGACGCAGCGTTCGTGGCGCACCCTATGAACGGCCTGAGTGAACGCAGCTCCGCAGTACCGGCACGTGAGCGCGCCACCTGCGAAACAGGGGGCACCCGTTAGCATGATGCTAATACGGCCGGTGGGCGACACAGCGGCCAGTTACCGAGCTGAGACGTGACCTCGTGCGCTCGCGCCGCCCTCAATAATCGTGCGCCTTTGTCACTGGCCATATAAGAACGAGCACGCGTTGTCAGAGCAGCCGGCAAACTAAACGTTTAGTAGCTCCTCTCCTGGTGCCCATTGCAAGTCCCCAGTCATCTTCATCCCCAAAGTTGACAGAGATTACTTTCATTTCATCGCAGAAGTTGTAGCGCCATGGCAACCTACAAAACGTTCCCACTGTCCAATTAACCGCAGACGACATTCACGGTTATCTGGCATCGTGGACCGCTGTTCATCATACTACACTGGAAGTGGCCTAAAAGAACTAGTGGTTTGTGATTGGAGTTTACGGGCGCGCCGACTGCGGTGGTCATTTGGCGCCCAGGCCTAAAAGAACTAACATCATAAACTAAAATAATAAATAAGAGGCCTGTGCTTGGGAGAAAAAAATAGCACGTGTCTTATGATAACGTTC